AGGAGGGGAGCCTGTCGCCGGCAAGCCTTCAAATAAATTACATGTCCATGTGGTTACATCGATTCCTATCTAAACCATCAAGCGTAGTTGGAACATCGGTGTTCTCACAAATCATATTGCCTGGCGCATTGTCCCTGGGGGGCGTGGAAGAGGAGAAGGAGCAGGAGGAGGGGCGTCGGTCTCCAGATAACCTTGGGACATCTGGGGTTTATGTGTTATCGCAGGGCTTCCTTGTCCACGCCCAGGAACATATACATACACACATCTATATATGTACATATATATACAAACATATATATGTATATATATATATGTATCAAATATCTGTGTCGCCAGGCTTCCTTCAGGAAACAGCCACTGCAATGCTTTTCAAAAGGGAATCCTCCTGCCGGAAGTCACTCCTACAGGACGAGGAGGAGAAGGAGGAGGACGAGGTCGAAGAGAGGAAAAGACGATGGAGGAGGGCCAATACGCGCGCGACGAAGCACCCGCCTGCCTATCCGCCACCCCCGTGCGCGATTACCACCTTGGCCACCTCCTCCCCCCCCCCCCCCACAGGGCACCACTCGGGGTGGTCGACAATCCCAACTGACCTCGCCCACTGCACGGCCTTGTAGCAAGCCTTGGCACGGTGTGGTGAGGCTGAACGCTCGCTACGAAAGCGCTGCAGGATGAAGACTGGACAGGAGCGCTAGACGGTTTTTTCCAGAGGTGAACGATCTTTTGAGGTACGGTGCAAGATGGCTTCTTGGATATGCCCGCGATCCTGGATGAAACCGGCACTCGGGCGTAGCGCCCAAACACTGACCCTCCTCTCTATCTTGCTCCTCGGCTCCTCGCTCTCCTGCCCGGTGCTGCCCCTTGCCTGGCCGGGTTTTCTTGTCAGCCCGTCTCGTGGTCCGAATACAGAACTGCGGTGGCGCACACTGTCACGCTGGCGAATAGCCGGACGTGGGACACGTCGTGTTCTTGTTCATGGCACGAGCATGTGATTCTCCATACCCGAGGCCGAGCTCTCTTTGTCCAGTTACCTCGTCTTTACAACTAACACGTTGCAACAGTCTCGCTTGCACGCCAGGGCAAGAGCTGGTCGTGGCTAGGCACGGCCAACGCAAACCCTGGCGACCCGCGGCAAGGGCTGGTCGGGGCAAGTCGCGGCCGGCGATACTCCTGGCACACGGCTCGGCTTCACGCGGGAGTGACCCTAGGCAAGAGTGACCTTTAGTGCGCGGCTCAACGCGGGACGCGGGGTGGTCAGACCTGGGCACGCAGGCCGCTGCTACCGCTTCGTGCTCAGCGATCGGGGGACGCCAATTGGGCCCGCACCAAGGGTCACTCCAGCGAAAGGCCACTCTTACGTCTAGTCGAACGGGCACCAAAGGCAAGAGGCAACTCGGGGCTGGTCGAGGCAAGTCAAAATCTGACACCCCATGGGAACAACAAGCTAGCACGTGGCCTCCCAAAGAGAGACCTCAAAGATGCCCGAACAATTCAAACACATATAGTCCGTTACCATGGTTGAACTGTTCACCTTTTCGCTTCCAATTGGCCTTTGAGGCCAAGAGAGTGGCTCACAAGGAAGCCAAGACCGCCCAAAGAGCACCCGTGGGCGCACCAAGCGCGCACCAAGAGGACTCAACGAGCCGAGATTCTGTGTTCCAGAAGGGGTGCTGGCAATCGGCGCCGCTCCCTGTTTAGTCGAGGTCCCCTTAGATAACACAACGCAATGGCTCTTGAACTGTACGTAGGGGCTTCAATATTATGCGAGAGCCGCAACAGCCCTCCTCAGGCTGTCTGACCGAGCTCCTTGTATCGCTGTCACCGTTCCTTACCCCTCCTTCTCCTCTTCCTCCTCCTCCTGCCATCTCCCTCAATCTCATCTATCTTCCACCGTCTCCTCCTCCACTTTCTCCTCCATCTCCTCCTCCTGCTCCTCCCATCTGCCTCGATCACATCTATCCTCCACCGTTTCCTTCTCCACTTTCTCCTCCGCCTCCTGATCTTCCTCAACCGACGGCATGCTCGGCAGTTCCACTCCTGGATAGGCTCAGCTGATCCCAAGCTTGGGCTTGATGGTTGCATCACCTCATTGTTCCACTGCATGTCGCTACAAACCCCTGATCAGGGAAACTGACATGTTTCTGGGTGGGCCAGTGTCATTCGCAAATGGGACAAGAATTCTGATTCCGATCGGTCCTTGATCCAAACGTCAATTCGGACACTCTTCAAGTGCTGAGGTGGCCAGACTGTCGGAAAACGCGAAGATCAGGTGCGTCGAACAAGGCTCCCAGGAATATGAAATTTAGCGCAATATTGCGGAAGGCTTGTGCTTGGAAGGGGAATGGGCCAGAGAGCGCATGGAAAGAAGAAGAAGAAGACAGTGCAACGACATATGGGACGTTCATTGGTGTTGGCCAGCAGTTGCAAACACACACACACACACAAACGCTCTCCGTGCCGACTCCGAGAAGGGGAAGCCAACCGCGCCTCGCCAGGCTCCGCGGTGTGACAGCCTGCTGCGGGCGGGCGGGATAATGCAGCCCCTCTTTTTGTTTATGTCTCGCGTTCTCTCTCTCTCTCTCTCTCTCTCTCTCTCTCCCTGAGCTCTCTCTCCCTGAGCTTCTATCGAATTCTGCAAGCATCGGATACAAGCAAAACAACGAGTAAGGATACAAGGGGGGGATGCAAGACCCTTGGACGTCAAACTTGGCCATGGACGGCAGCAGACAACATGGACTGAGGACGTGTCACATGAGGAAGGTTGCACCCGTAGCCCTGCAAACGCACTCCATGCTTATCGTGGGTGTCGCTTGTACCCCCCCCCCAACCCAGAACGGGGGTGGAACTGCTTACCGCGTTAGAGGTTGCAGCGCCCTCAGCGCGCAGTGGTCGTTGCCCTCGACGGGCGTCGCTTCGGGACTGTCGGCGGCGGTGGCGCGCGCCTGGCGTTTGCAATGGAACTCGCGTCGCTGTCTGCTGTATGAACGGGCGCTACATATGAAGGGGGCCCAAGGACACACAAATGAATACACACAAATGAAGTACTCCCCATAGTTTCCTATATCTTCTGGGTTTCTGTCTTCCCGCTCACTTCCCGTATTTTCTTATATTTTCTGGGGAATCGAGGATTAATTGTGTCTGTGTGTTTCTTTTCCTCCTGAACATACCCAAGGGCGCCGACAGAGAGCCTAGGCAACGTCTCCAGACAGAAAAAAAGGACCTACGAACGTGTGGCCAACACTTGGAGAATAGGGGCGGCACGTACGATACGAGATCCGAGCTAGTTTGATGTTGTTCCCTCCATCCTACTTAAGGACCGCATCCCAGAAATAATTCCGAGCACCCAGAAAAGTGTCGAAAGAGTGTCGAAAGAGTGTCGAAACAATGTCGAACGAGTGTCTCCCCTCCACGTGAAAACCCTCGAGTTTTTGGTACTTGTTTTTTCTGGCGCTCGAAATTCTTCCTGCTGGTCAAGGCTAAAGTAGGTTGGAACATCATAAACCTAATTCTTTGTCGAGCCTCAAGCTTCCTGATGCGCACCCGGGTTTTTGTGGGCACCTTGGGCCATCGGGGGTACAGCCAACCTGCACAATAAGGACGCACGGCAAGGATGCAAGGGCCCTTGAAGGCTCTCTTCATACTTTGCGAGCGGGGCGCGGCCGGCGAAAGCGGCCCCGGACGCGCCGACAGGGAACGATGGCACGGTAACTTTGGAAAGTTCGTCATCTTTGCTTTACGGGTTGACTGCATGACACGCCTGTGCGACAGCTGCTGGCGAGCTTGCTCCTTGTTTGGCGTGCTCTCTGTCGGACGACGATCGGCGGCGCGCACGAAGGGGGGGGGAGGAGGAGGAAGGAGGAGGAGGAGGAGGAGGAGGAGAAGGAGGAGGAGGGGGAGGAGGAGGAGGAGGTTGAGGAGGAGGAGGAGGAGGAGGAAGGGGAGGAGGTTGGGGAGGAGGAGGAGGGAAGGCTTCTTAGAAGGAGGCTGCTTCGTGGAAGCCTTCCCCCATGCCCCTACCCCCTCTCTCTGTCCGCGTGGCCGATGCTGGCAGGTTTGCTTCTTGCTTGGCGTGCCACCCGCCGGACGAGGAAGCGGGGGGGGAGCCGGCCCCGCTAGGCCAGCTGGGCGGTGTGGCGCCGGAGGCCACAAACTGGCTTGCCCCAGCGCGTCGTGGCCCATCGCACGCTGTGCCTCCCAACGCTCGAGCTAAACAGCGCTTCCGTTCTCGTGTTGTTCCCCACATGCCTAGCAAGGTTCTCGTTTTCTTTCAACCCTCGTCGCACCCGCGTCTCCCTGACCCCCCCCCCCTCCTCCCTCCTCACTTGTTCCCCACACGTTTCGTGGGGTTTGGGCTTTCTTCCCATCCGCGTTGCACCCGCGTCTTGCTCACACCTCCCTTCTCCCTCCTCCCTCTCCTCCTCTTCTGGTCCTCCCTCCACCCACACAGCCGCACGCCATGGCATATACAAGGCGTACGTTTAGGATTCGCAGTGCATGGCAGGCGAGGCACTTTCTCGATACAGAGGGAATGCGTTGGGGGTGGTCTCCCTATCCGTTTCGGGCTCGCAAAGCGCGGCAGGCTTGGGAAGCGCTGGGGGTGGTCTCCCTATCCGTTGCAGGCGCGCAGGGCGTGGCACGCGTGGCATTTCCTCTCCTCGGCACCACATGGGGGTGCGCTGGGGGTGGTCTCCCTATCCGTTGCAGGCGCGCAGGGCGTGGCACGCGTGGCATTTCCTCGACACGACATGGGGGTGCGCTGAGGGTGGTCTCCCTATCCGATGCAGGCTCGCAGGGCGTGGCACGCGTGGCAATCCCTCGACACCACATGGGGGTGCGCTGGGGGTGGTTCCCCTATCCGATGCAGGGGCGTGGCACGCGTGGCATTTCCTCGACACCACATGGGGGTGCGCTGGGGGGGGGGCGCCGCACCATGAAACCTGAGAGCCTTGAGAGCTGCGCGTGGGGTGGGGGTGCTGGGTGCGCGGGCGAGAACTCGTGTTTTATCCAGCATGCGTCGGGACCCAGAGTGGTCGACAGCAGGACGCCCGAGACCGAAGCGGCCAACAGCAGGACCGAAACGAACGCGTGAGTGGCAGAGAAGCCCTACGGGCTAGAAAGGCACTTCAGCTGGCAGACGAGAACGTCAAGAGCAGATGGACGAGATCTGGCCAGGGGGGATAGTTGAGACAACACGCGACTCGATCACTTCGTTGAAGCTCAGGACCCGATCCGCAGGTATGAGCGTACCCGGGAGCTTCGCCGCAAGGAACCGACGGATAATATCAAGATCTGGGACACGCGGGCGCGGCCCACTCAACCTGTGCCATGTCAAATGTGCCAAAACACAAAGTTCATCTGTAAGGCCGAATGGCTCGAGCACGTGAAAAAGGAGCACGGAGGTGAACAGAGGCATCGCAATGCCCTCGTCGCGCTGGAAATGCTGTGCCTGGCGACGTACTTGCAAAGGGTTCAAAAGGCAGGATTGCGCATAGATGGTATGATAAGCAAACACATAAGACTTAGATTGAGTATGTGGGGCTTCTCGGTGGAGTAATGTTCGTCTGCCTGGTTCTGCGTTCGTTCCGCCTTAGCCGCAAAATGAAATCAAAACTTGAACGGTCCACGAAATCGCCAAAACACCGTTTCGCCCGCGCCCTGGTGCCCCTTCCCAAGCTTCGCTCGGAAAAAAAACAGAAACGGCATGTTCGGACACTCCAGGAGATCCGAGTGGATCTCTTGGGTCGGCCCTGGACATCCCTGCCCCGCGGGAGCGCGCAGAACGTCGTGGGCTGCGCAAGGAAACGCCGCCAGGGGGGATCCAGCGACGATCCACCTCCGAAACTTCCTTCTGCCAACCGATGTGTGTCATTCGCCTGATGGCTGCAATTTCTCCCTGCTGCGGCCCACCGCTGCGACGAGGGGCGAACCCGGAGGGCCAGATCTGCAGGGCACTGCACGGGAGCCGTCCTAGCCAGCAGCACCAGCAAAGCTGGACAAGCCAGAGCCTAGACAGTATCCTGGAATGGCATGGCAACGGCGTGGTTGGCGGCGAGCCTGGGAGGTAAGTGAAGGGGGGCAGGCGGCTTCTCAGAAGCCCTCGCGCCTTCCGAGAAGCCGTCCCTGTCTTCGCAGAGGGCTTAGCACGACCTTGACGACGGCGCGAAGGCTCCTGAAAAACTCAACGGCCTGCTGCCAAGGACTGGCACGCAGACCCCCCACGTCTTGATTTGTGCATAACGTCGACACCCCAAGGTTTCGACCCAGTTCCCAGGATTATGTTGCTCCCATCACACGTATGGACCACATCCCCAAAATAATTTCGAGCGCGCAGAAAGGATCAAAACAGTGTCGAACGAGTATCGCCCCCCAGGGCCCGACACGTGCAAACCCTCCAGGTTCAGTGCTTTCCTGGTGTTCGAAATTCCTTCTGGTGATCAAGGCTACAGTAGATTGGAACATCATGACCCCAGGACCGGTTGTTCATCCTGGACTGCTTTCTGACGGTCCCGAGGTCCGGCAAGGGCCCCCACAAGCCGAAAACTGTTGAGGTATTGGGAGGAGAACGGGGGCGCCGATGCACCCTTTCCAAAATCTCGCGTGGCCAACGCACAGGACGCTAAATTATCGAGACCCGCGCGGGATCGCCTCGCGCTGCGCGAAAGCGCAGCAACGGCCGCGCGGGCATCCTCGCCCCTACCGGCGCCTCAACACCTAAAACGCCGGAAAACCTCCAGTCGTGAAACTTGTTGCGACTCGAGGGCCGCTTCTCGACGGTCCCGCAGCCCAGTAAGGGCCCCCCAAAGACCGAATATAGCGGAAAACCTCCCGTCGTGATGCTGTTTGTCTCGTCTCGAGGGGAACTGGCCCACGGATCTAAGCCCTTCTATTCCCCCCCTCGGACTAACCGCCAGCATGGGGTGACGATAGTTTTGCAGCGCTGGGAGCCACAGGCGCCAGTCCCCGTCAGCTCTTAGAGAACTGAAAAGGTTTCAGCTCAGAAGCCGGCTGGCAAGAGTTGCCCCAGAGCTCGTTCTGGCTTCAACAAGAATCCCCGCTGCGCCTCCTGTGAACTTGCAGCGTGCTCCGGAAAGCCTTGTCTGACTGCTTTCCGATACGTGTGCCGTCGATCGTTCCAGAAGCTCCTTCCCAAAGCTCCCAGAGCTCCTTCGAAGGACCTTGGGGAAACGTCTGTCGCCACGCTATCCGGGGTTTGGACACAACCACGCCACGCGGCCAGAATCCCTCGCAAATCACTGCGCAGTGGCGGTCCCGAGGCCACGAGTCCACCCCACGCAGGCTGCCCGAAAGCGCAGAGCAGAAAACCTGGATGCTCTGTACACTGTTTTGGGGATCCGAGTTCGGGGGGCGCTGTGCGGCCCCCCCGTCGTCTCCTGAGAGTGCGGCTCCGAGTCCGAGGCACAGGATCCTCGAAAGTTTACCAGCTTGGAACATATCCCTATCCCCACGCTGGGCACCTCCTCATCACGATGCCAATCTTAGGGATCCCCTTATTTTTTGAGGGCGAATCCCTAAGATTGTCATCGCCTTTTGGCGTCAATCTTACGGATACCGATACGTTCGAGGCTGGTAAAAAGTACCTATAGGGCGCGTGCCCGCGAGGCCAGGAACCCTTGTGAATTGCAATGGCAGCGCGCTCCCAAGGTCACAATGCCTCATTCACTTCCCAAAAGAAACGCAACCAGCCAGCCAGCAAACAACCCAACTCGACTGGCGAACGCAAATCTGAACAAGAACAGACCAATCAGCTCAGTTGCCAGCCAACCCACCGACAAGAAAACCAATCAACTTACCCACAAAGCGTGGCCATGCAAATCTGACGGGGGGGCATAGTAGAACGAAGGCAATCCACGATATTCCTTATTCATTGGGCAGCTGTCAGTCCACAGTTGAGGATCATCTGTTGGTTGCTTGTCGCTGGTTCGCTATCCCTGGGCAGCTGGGCAAGAAGTGGCGTTCAAACCGTACGCATCTCTGCAAGGATTGTCGCACGAGGCTTGGTTGACGACGTCTGAAACAGTGCACCTCGAGGTGTCAAAGAGCGTGTAGGTCTGGAGGTCCTCCTCCATACCACGGATTGCAGCGTATGTCCCCAATAAGGTGAGCGCAACGCCGGTCAGTATGGCCAGAAAACAAGAGACCTGAAACAACAAGCCTGCGTCACCCCTTCGCAGAGCCTGCTGCCAGTAGACAGCAAAGGGTGCATAGTAGGTGAGGGAAGCAAAACCAAAGGCACCGACCAGTGCATTGATGTTGCCCAGTCCAGCCGCCGATAGCATCACTGCAAAGAACACCTCGGACAGCACGAAGACAAGTCTCAGGAGGCTGCTCCTCGCCTGCGTGGCCACTTTCGGCGACATGCCACAGAGGACCCGTGGAGCCTCCAATACTTTCCGCACGACCGATGTGCGCTCCACCAGAGACAACATCAGCACGTGGCACGTGGCCATCTCCACTAGACCCCAGAGGACGCTCAGGAAGGCAGAGGTCACCGTGGCCCAATTCAGTGGCCAATTGAACTGGTTATCGGCGCTGGTCCACTGTCCCCAGACTGCATAGGCAACATACGTGTTGCTGATGTAGACGGTGACAAGCAGCACGTAGGTGCCGTGCAGGGCTGGAAAATAGCTGCGAGGCCGGCGGAGCTCCCGGATCTCCTCGGGGAACAAGCCGTGTCCTCCAAAGAGAAACGCGGTGGTTGCTAACGAATTCAACACGGACTTGAAGGTGACACCTGCAAAAGAAGGGTGGCATGTTGCCACCAAGTCCCCGTAACCGACCTGGTAAAAGAGGAGCAACCACCGGATGATGCTGCTCAAGAGGCTGAGCAAGGCGAATGGAAGCAAATGTCTGAAGGTGCGAATCTGAGCCAGCAGAGCAGTTACCAATCCGGCGGCCAAAAGCAGCTGCCAAAGACAAACGTCACGTTGGACAGAGTTACCACCACTGAGCTCATGCAAGCCATTGTATGCGAGCAGGCACCAGTCAGCAACGTTTACCAATAGAGACACGTTCACCATGTAGTAGGTCAGAATCTGCATTGACGCTGCAAAATACCAGCCCGCTGACCCAAAGCTGTCCTCGACCAGAGCAGGATATGTGCTCTCGACACCACGCTCAGCTGCATCCATCACACAGTGGCCGAGTATGATTCCACTGAGCCATGTGCTCCCAATGGAATATATCCAGAACGCGGTGCCCCAATACCACCCAGCACTACCAAGAGTGGATGGAGAAAACACGAGCCCCAGAGTGAAAGCTGTGGAGATGATAAAGAAACTGAAGCCCGAGTTCTTCTTACGATTAACCGCATCAATGCCTTCTTGTGTTGAACAAGAGTCGTCAGTACTGTCTGACTCATGATACTCATCTTGCTCCGACTCATCCTCCTCTTCCTCCTCGTGGCAACCACTACCGTTGCCAACAAAGCTGCGCATTCACAATGCAGAATCTCCCAGAAGGGTGGGACAAAACAAAAGGATAGCTTACCACATCCATCTTGAGCTAGACCAGGCGGCTACGGGAGAGCATACGCGAACATCACAGAACAACGAATTCACTAGCGCGCGGAAGGAACCTGAACAGGGCCTGACTGTCCTCTCGAGGGCTGCTTGAGGGCTGGTTCAGCAAAGGCTGCTTGATGGTTGGTTCAACAAAGGCGGCCCATGAAGGGCGCACGGGTCGAACGTGAGGCCGTAGAGGCTGGACAAGAGCACTCCTCAGAAGATGAGCTGCCACCGGCACTTGGAGCACAAGCCAAGCCAGAACGAACTGCAAGACTGCCCCAGCACTGGCCACCAAGAGTGAGATACCAGAAGGCATGAGATGGACCGGCGCGCGGGAGGGGCAGGCGGACCCCTCCCACGCCGTCCAGAGTCGCTGCCAGAAGTGGCAGCATGTGCCCGGGGGGGAAGCATGAACATACAGACACAAAGGATCGTCCATTCTCAGGAAGACGAACACCAAGAACATGTGAGAAACTATGGGGCATCCTGGGATTTGTGTCTGTTTGATCGTGGGTCCCTGGGCCCCTTGAGCATGGACCCGCCCGGCACTTGCCTGCCGAAGATGCGTCGGTGGCCAAAGCGCACACCCCAGAGACTCAGAGAAGCCCACCAATCTCCGGACGGAAGGGCGGCCCCCGAGAGCGGCCCCCGTGGCACGCAGGAAGGGCACGCCAGCACCTGGCGCTGCCCACGGTGAACCCCGGCCAAAGATGTCCCCGGGATTCCCCGGTAGGCCCACTGGGGATCTCCAGATCCAGACCCCCTCGCTCTGTTGAACAAATCACGACGGGAGGTGTCTTGCCATGTTCGGCCTCCGGGGAGCCTTGCCGGGCCAAGCTTCAGAACGAACGAAGAACGGCTTCTCGTCCTGAAGAGCACCGGACCCTTTCCCGAGGACCAGTGTTAAACCTGTCCTCGGGAAAGGGTCGGGACTTCCAGGGACCGCGTATTGAAAAAATCAAGACGTCGCATGTCTGGGCAGAGCACCCCTCACGAGGCCTGGGGGGCTCGAGGCGCTATGCGAAGCGGGGCGAAACACGAGGGGTCTTCAAAGGGGCCCAAGGACACACAAAAAAATACACACAAATACAACGATTCCCAATATTTTCCTATATTTTGGGGGTTATTGTCTCCCCCCCACTTCCCATATTTTCCCATATGTTCTTGGGAGTCGACGATTAATTGTATCTGTGTGTTTTTCCCCTCCTGAATTCTTGGGCCAGGGCCACTCCCGGCAGCACCCGACAATACGATGCGCGTGTCTGGCACAGACATCTGGTACACACGTGCGGTGGAGGCTGGAAATAACGACACCGTTGTTGAGGAACGCGGAGGCTCGAAGCGACAGAGTTCCTGTATCTTTCGAAGGGGTGGTCGAGACCCTGGACCACAGGGCTCGTGCCCGTCACGGCTCAGGAAGTTGTCCTTGACCCTGACCTGTGCCCGCCAATCTGAGGACCCGACCTGGAAACAACTATTCCTTATAGAGCGCAGAATGACTCCACCGTGTAAGACAAAGGTAGGAAGGCGGTGAAAGTAGACCGGTCTTCCGCCCGCCCATGGAAGAGGAAGGAAGAGGCGAAGCCACTCGATCATTGGAGTAGGAAGACCCCTCAGTCAGATCGGGATCTGGGAATCCCCCAAAATACGGCCGGATCTAAGGCATAAAGACATCCTTGAAAAGAACACGCGACCCCCCGCCGGCCAAACTGAAGGACCTTCGAGGGTGGCCTCCCCCAGGGTACACAAGAACATCCAACAATCACGGAGAACATCATTACCAGCCTCGAACGTATCCCTATCCCTAAGATTGACACGCCAAAAGGCGATGACAATCTTAGGGATTCGCCCTCAAAAAATAAGGGAATCCCTAAGATTGGCATCGTGATGAGGAGGTGCCCAGCAGAGGGATAGGGATATGTTCCAGGCTGGTAATATCAAGACACCCTCCCCGAACCCAACTCGATCTTATACCTCGGTCCAACCGTACTTTCAACGGCCGACGGGTACCCGTCGGTCGGAAGAAATGGGCAGACACGTCAAGAAGGAAGGCCGTGAAAAGTAGGTCGGGCTTCCGCCCGCCCCCTCCCGAGGGGGGAACAGGGGAGGCCCTCCTGAGGGAACACGGGCACAGTCAACCCGCATGGTAAGGACGAGCAACTCTCCGAGGTTCCCCTCGCATCCCTCCTCTCTGTCCCATCCTTGGCCGCTTCCGCTCGCCGCGCCCCGCTCGCTGAGTGTCGGCATGGCCTTCCCTTCCAAGGCCCTTGCATCCTCCTCGCGCGTCCTTACTATACGGGTTCAAACACGTACTTTCGAAGCCCCGTGCGGATTCCTTGGACCTGCGCTGGTCCTCCACTGGCAGTGACTCCGGCGCAGCGCGCAGGGGTCGGGTGGTGCAGCGTCGACCC